AATTTGAGAACATTATATTTAAAAATTATGTTCTCTTTTGAGAACCAACTAAGAACATAAAATTTATAATTTATGTTTTCATATGATATGTAGAAAATATATAATTTCACTTTTTTTTTTTTTTTATCATTAAGAACACTAAAAATTTTATAAGAACATAAAATTATAAATTTATGTTCTCAAAATACAAAAAAAAAGGTTTTCAGATCTCTAACCCTGCTTCCACCTACCTTAGGATTATTCAGGGTCCTACGCTAACTATATATCAGGCCAATCCTAAATCATTCCAACTTTATCAACGAAATAATTATCGGCAAAATAGTTTACAATCATAACCCAAATTTAAATTTCCTAAATAAAGCACGCAGTTAACTAATTTTATTGATTTGAAATTTCAATATACAGATTTTAATAAATATAATATGTTTATTTGCTGTTGCTAATCATGTATGCTTATTTTAAAATAATAGAGGTTTGTGGGCTTTGAAAAATTAAAAGCTATCGTTATTTATCAAGAAAAACAATAAAAATCATTTATTTAATAAAAAAGAGGTAAAATAGCTTTATGAAAAACAAAATTATTTATTGCCCCATTTTTTATAAGCATATTGTTCAAAAGTAGTAATATTTGGATGTAAAACTTTAGAAATCGAAATGTCGCTGGTTTCCTTGTCGGATCCAAAAACTCCATAGTCATTATACCAACGAAACTATTGAAGATAATACTGATAAATACTTTATTTTTGTTATTATTTTTTTAAAAAAAAAATAATTCGGATGACATACCATATCGAGTAATTCTTCACTATCCAAGAAGGAAAATTCCTTTTTAGTTTCTTCGCGATTGGTACTGCGAAGTTTAAATTGTTTTCCAGTAACTGATAGTTTCGTAAAAAGAATTTTACCATTTGAAAATTAAATAGATAAAACATAAAATGTAATAAAAATTTTATAGAAGCTTACCCTTAGTCATTACTTCGGCAATTTTTCCAAAAGAAATACGTTCTGAAGCAACAGGAACTTTCTTTCCATTCCACTTTTCTGGTCCTTCTTCAATAACTTTGGCTACAACGGGCTGAGAATATTTATATAAGTTATTATTTCCGTAAAGCCTGTTAATATAATAGTAATATAATTACTTACGCCAGTGTCGGCTTCAGCGTCAACAATCTCAATAGTGGTATCTTCTTTGACCAATGGAACAACAAATTCAGATGTTCCATCATCTTTTGTAATAATTGGGAAAAATGTACCAAAATTCGAAGCATAGACAGCAACGTAGATAAATGTGGTTTTGGGAATACCCAAAGTTCTAACATATTTTTCGACCCGATTTTTACCTATATATATAGTATTTAAATATATTAATATTATATAAAGTCTATATAATAAAATGTCATTTCTTACCGTAAAAATGTATAACATTGTAATTTAATCTCTCTTGAGTCTCAGGAAGAGAACTTAATATAGAATGAAATAAGGTCAGTCTCGTGAAATAGAAAATATTTACTTTACAACATAACATACCTATAAATAAGCCAATTCAGTCCGACTTCTTTAGCGACGTCGGCAATCATTTTACCTTGTCTTTCTTCTTCAGTCGTGTTGTTTGGGTAAATAGACTAATATAATAATCATGATGGTCATAAAATAGTTATTATTATATAATTAATGAAATGAAATTCTTAATTACCGAATCCCAGAAATTGGTGACTATAAATGCGATATCAGCACCATTAAGTGCATTCTTGACATCTTCTTTAATGGCAAGGTCAGCTTTGAAGACTTCGACACCCTTTGCAGCAAGGGCTTTTGCTTTATCAGATTCAGGTCTACGTGTAAGAGCGCGGATTTTATATTTTCCTGCTGCAAGGAGAGAATTGACAACAGATCCTCCTGTGGATATGCGATACAAAAAAAGCGTATATTTTTCGTAAGTTTATTATTAAAATGTTGTCACGTTTTGAGCGAACACGAGTAAATAATACCTTGAGCACCTATATATGTAAAAGAAGTCAATATAACATTAATAAATGCTAATAAATGCTATTAAATACGATGAATTATCATTTATCAAAATGTATTACCAGTAGCTCCACTGACGACTACCAAAGGTTTTTGAGATGACATGTTGGAATTTTGATTTTTTAATGGTTTAATATAACACGAAGAGACTTTAACGGCCAATTTATTATAGTAGTAATAGTAAACCGAAAATAAGTAGAAAATTTGATTTTGACACCAGAAGAATCTTCCCTCCTATTTATATCTTGAAATTTGGCATAAATCTGTTTTGATTATACCAAATTCTAACTTAATGCGTCAAGAAGATAAGTAAACTGATAAACTGATTAATAATCAGATACCGTATTTTGTGGAGTAAAATACCCGGGGTATAAGAAAATATTTATATACTAAGTGGGTACTTTAATAGAAGCGTGTACTATACTACGGAGGTACTATATAATCGATCATATATAAACCGTGCATAGCACCGGATCTTTTACTAAAAAAGGAAGGAGGGTATTATGCTATGGGCGGGTATGTTAAGTTTTCCTTTTTTGGTACATAACTTCTGGATTTGGAATAAGATTTTTGTGTATAATTGATTAATAATCGTATGCATACGAGGGAGTTGATTACAAAAAAGGAATAAATCAGAGAAACATCCTATTTATTGTCACATGATCATTTACTTTCGTCAAATCTTCCCATAAGGTGTTTCTTAATAAATAAATTCAGCGTTTACTACTATTAATCGTTGAAAGCATCACATTCGTTTATTTAGACTATTTCGGCTGTAATTTATACTGGAGTGATTTTTATTACAGCTGTTTCATTAATTTTGGGACATCTGAAAAATTCTTTGACGGCCGAATCGCAATAAATTACTGACGTCAGCTGACATCAAAACTTATCGATTTAGTCATCAGCAATTTTCAAATGCCTCAAAAATAATGAAAAACAGTCTAATAAAAATAAAAATGCATGATCGAGGAAGGAGTAATTGGCTAGGTTAGCCAGAATTGAAATGACATCTCGCAAAAGTAGCAACCGTGATTGCACTGAAAGTCCCGTGGCAACAGCCGGTAGTTCCCTGCCTGCCGAAGCAAGCCGGCTGTGAGTGAAGAAATGACATAATCACGAGTCACTGGATCAAGCATTAAGGTTCTGATTCTGTTATTATCACATGACATACTACCACTTCGCATTAACGTTTAACTATTGACGCATGTTAGCTAATTAAAGTTTATATGATGGCGTCAATTAAATCAAAAGGCTGTATTATTAAGCTTTTGTTGATTTATAATCCCGGAATTCTAACAATAGATTAGTTTTTCTTATTAATTAGCTTAATTCAGCTTGGAGTAGACCCGTTTCCCTTTGACCAATTATCTTTAACAATAGTATTATTAATATTACGTACATTTCCCATTTTTCGCATTTTTCCGAAGAATGAAATCATAATGCATTTACGCACTGATTTTTACTAAATAAGTAGCTGCACGACAAGCCTGATTTACCAAGAATAGTTACCGTTACATCTAATATCATATTTAGTATTAGTGGTGCTGATCACTTCACCCGACAGTCATTTCATCGAAAGTTCATCACATAGGGTTAGGTTTAGCTTTTGATTAGTTGTATGATGCCGGCTAAATGAGCTGTCGGCGAAATGACTGTTTATGAAGTAAGACCGATCCAATATTTAGATACATAAAAAATATCGAGTGCACAATTAAGCCCAGTATATCTATATTGATGTGGGACGCTATAATAAAACTTATGGAAATTTAAATAAATTTGATTAGTTGAATATAAATTATTGTTGTATTAATGGCTATCCGTTTGCTGTACTAAATTTAGTACAAAATACTGAATTTAGTACAGTTTTAAAATTTAAATTTTGAAAAATTTTTCTTATTAACTTTAAATTAAATTTATATAATATATAAATAAATATTTATATTTTATTTTGGTATATTTAAAAGTTGGCTAATTTAACAAAAGTTATATTAGCAAGTTTAAAAAAAATTTTGAGTATTGGTAAATTTATTAAATATAATATACTATATACTATTTTAATATATTTTAATTAAAAAATTTCCTACCAAAGAAAAATTAAATTTCTGTTAGAAAGGTGTGGTCTAACATAGCAGTTTGCCTAGAGGTTAACAGTTCTCTTCTACTGGGACTCCTTTATCAGATGTATATTCGGTATGCGTTTGTATACAAGATAACTGGCAAGAGGTGTGTGCCCTTGTATACAAAATCTTGGAGGTGGCAAAAGCCTTTGCTGTCGACGAAGTTATTTAGGCTATTACTTTGGAAGAAGAATACAGGGGAAACAACAGAAGTCTTTTTTTCTTAAAGCCACACTCTTTTAGTTAACCAAGTGGTTTCTTTTCTATCTTTACTTGCCCTCCTGTTGGTCTTCCAAAATTTTCTAAAAAAGTAGAGATTTGGCTTACTTTCTCCAAAAGATCGGCATTGTTTACACTTACCAAATTCGGATAGACTTAGTGGATTGCAACCACGTGTTTGTTTTGATGTTCAATACGGTGCTACGGTACAGAGAAGAGATCAATGCCCCTGTTTAAGAGATACCCGAGTTGAGTCGGTGTCTGGAATAAGTTGAATCGATAAAGCTAAAGGTTTTATAATTGAGATATACTTTTAGTTGCAATTAGTATCTTTATCCCTGGCACGGGCTATAATAGTATATCAAGGCTACCTTTCTTTTTTTGCTTTTTTCATCTTTGTTTATTTATGTTAGATTATTTTAGAATTTGTTTCCTTGTTTGTGTTTTTTTATTGCCGTGAGGTGTTTTTTTTTCTAAAATGTTTAGGTCTTTCATAAACATGGCTTTATTTTTTTACTTTTATATATGAATAAGGGTTTTAATTATTTTGTAGATGGAAGAAGTTTAAAAGAAGGAAAGGTAGTTTTGATGAGCCAGTAGGATCCATCCAGTGATATTATATTTCTTTCATTTTAGAAAGGGGTATTTTGGAGGTAAATCTTGCTTATAGCAGGTCGTGTATAGGTGTTCAAGAGATAACTGGGTAAGCCAGTACTTGTAAAGTAGGTATCAAAAGGGTTAGCCTTTTGTAAAAGTCGTATAAATTTATATTATATAATGTAAAAAGTTATGATAGCCTAATAAAGTATATGGCAAGACTACCAAAATAGTAAAAAAAAAAAAATACATTTTAATTAAATACAATAGCTTAAATTTTTATATATTAATAAGCAATCAAAAAAATATATATAATATCTAAGTATATATAAACATATTTCTAAAAAAATTTTTTATAATTTTTAATTTAATATTTTTTTAAAAAAATTCAAATTTGTTTAATATTTTAAAAAAAATTAATAAAAATCTAAAAATTTTTAGTTTTTTTTTAAATTTAACCAATTAAAATTAAGTGTTGCTTTGTGCTACTATACAAGTAATTTGATAATTACAAAAAAGTTTGTAAAATTTTATCTAAAGTTATTATGTAAAAAAAAAAGTTATAGTAGTGAACAAAGTACTAATATAATATATTAGAATAATAAAATTACCTATATATTTTTTTAATACTGAAATTTTTTTTTAAAAAAATAATTTTAATAAAAAGTTATACAAAATTTAAGTTTGGTAATTTTTTTATAAAATACAAGTGTAAGTGGGGGCGCTGCCAGTGCCCCTTTCTTGAATCACAATCATTAAAGCGAATCAAATTTAACTTCATATTCACCCTGGTAATTTATTTGAATGATTAATTAATTACATGTTCTCTTGAAACACAATCATGAAGGTGAATCAAATTAAACTTCATACTCACTCTGGTAATTTACTAAATGATTAAATAGTTACGGTTAATCACACATTCTCTTGAAACACAGTCATTAAGATGAATCGAATTAAACTTTGTACTCACCTTGGTAATTTATTAAATGGTTGAATGATTATGGTTTTTCAATGTTTTTTAAACACAATCATTAAAGCGAATCGATTTAAACTTCACACTCACCCTGGTAATTTATATGAATAATTAAATGTTTATAGCTAATAATACATTCTTTTGAAATATAATTATTAAAATAAATCAAATTAAACTTCATTCTCACTCTGGTAATTTATTAAACGATTGAATGATTATGGTTAATCACATGTTCTCTTGAAACACAATTGTTAAAATAAATCGAATAAATCTTTGTACTCACTCTAGTAATTTATTTAAACAATTGATTGATTACGGTTAATCACATATTTGCTTGAAATGCAATTATTAAAGTGAATCAAATTAAACTTCGTATTCACCTTGGTAATTTATTGAATGATTAAATGATTATGGTTAATTAATATAATGAAATACAATCATTAAAGCAAATTTAATTAAGCTTCATACTTACCCTAGTAATTTATTTGAACTATTAAATAACTATGGTTAATTACATGTTCTCTTGAAACATAATTGTTAAAGCGAATCGAATTAAATTTCATTCTCGCTCTGGTAATTTATTTGAACATTGATTAATCAATGTTTTGAAACACAATTGTTAAAGTAAATCAATTAAACTTTGTACTTATTCTTGTAATTTATTTGAACGATTGAATAATTATAGTTAATTAATATTTTGAAATACAATCATTAAAGTGAATCGAACTAAACTTCATTCTTATTCTGGTAATTTATTTGAACTATTGAATGATTGCAGTTAATCTATTTCTTGAAACACAATCATTAAAGCAAATCAAATTAAATTCTGTATCCCTGGTACTTTATTTAACAATTTAATAATTACAGTTAATCAATATCTTGAAATGCATTCATGAAAGTGAACTGAATTAAACTTATACTCACCCTGGTAATTTATTTGTATGATTGAATAATTATGGCTAATCAATGTCTTGAAACACATTTATTAAAGCAAATCAAACTAAACTTCGTACTCACTCTGGTAATTTTTTTGAACGTTTGAATAATTATAGTTAATCAATGTCTTGAAACATATTCGTTAAAGTAAATCAAATTAAACTTATACTCACCCTGGTAATTTATTTGAACGATTAAATGATTATCGTTAATTATACATACTCTTAAAGTACAATTGTTAAAGTAATCAAATTAAACTT